CTGCCAGAAACTGTCCACAAAACAACAAGTCAAAGAACAAGCAGGCATTCAAGTGATGGAACTGCACTATGAAAATGGAAAGCCATTGAATTCATCTACTAAAGTGTATGCAGTTCCCCCCCAAGCAACAGTAAGTGAACACACTGAGCCAAAGTACTATTATAAAACCAGAGTTAAATAGTCACCCTGTATTGTGCTAAATAAATCCAGCTACTGCTGCGAAAGCAACACAGAATAGATATATTTTATATCTATTGATGCTTTAAAAGGAAAAAAAAAAATCAATTTCAGGCCAAGAAATTTACATCAGGTTTCTCTCCAGTGCGACTTTTTTTTTTTTTTTTTTTTTTTTTTAAAGGCAACACACACAAAAGCATGAGCTTTCCTGTATACAAAAGACAGATACGTACGCAGGCCTTTCACTGTTGTAGCACAATATTTCAAAGGAGTCTATGAAAGCTTCATCTACATGAGTTACAATACAACCAAGTACAAGCTGATGCCTTGCCAGATCCCCTGGACTTCCTATCTTACATCTCATGTAGGAATGATGCATTACAAATAGCACACCTCCTAGCTCTTACACAGCACTTTCCACCAGTATGGCTTGAACTGCTTTACAAAAAGGGTCAATAGCAATGCTCTCTCTGTGCAGACAGGGGAACTGCAGCAAAGGGAGGAAAGCTATGTGCACCCAGTCACCCAGCAGGCCAATGTTACTGGATACTCCAGAAAGCAGCTGACATGAGCCAAGAGGGGAACAACAAAACAATACCTTTGGTCCTGCAGATCTCTATAAGGTTCACCACGTTCTCATGCTTGAGCAGCTGAAGAATTTTAATCTCTCGCAGGGCTGTGATAGGAAACTGAAAAAGGAGAAATGAGGCCCACCAGTTAGGATGGCAAAGGATCATATCAGACTGGTCTGGAGCCCTTGAGAGGATTAGAGAGGACAAAGCGGAAACATTCAAACAGAAATAACACACAGGCCTCAAGTGCAATTAGAGTAAGACACCGAGCCCAACTTGGTGGAAACCCAAAGCTGTGCTCGGTGCCTTCCAGGCATGCTTGCAAACCAAGACTGATGCAAGAGCTGCAGAGCGCTCTTAGCGAAGACGGTGGATGTTGGGTGTGCCGAAAATCCTCAGGGGAACAGACCTTTGTTCCACAGCACCCAGTTTAACCTGGGATGGGGAAAGGGTGCAGCTCTATTCTGCTTCTGACCCTACTGCTGGCAATTCAGACTTGACAGGTGGACCAGACCCACGTGGTGGACACGAGCCAGGTCAGCAAAGTGCTCACCCCCTTCAGTGTCTCACTGGGGTCCGTCGCAGCAAGGCAAGGGCAGCCACAAGGCAAACGAGAGAGGTACAGCACCAAGCAACCTTACCCCTGCATACGAGCGCGCCACGCTTGCTGGATGGAAACGGCCTCACACGTTGCAGGGACAGACACCAACGCGGCTATGGAGCCCAGCAGCAAAGTGCCCCACGAACAACCCGCGCCCTCCCAACAACTCTGCCTGGGGTATTACAGGGCTCTAGCCGCCCCTGACACACTGCACGCCTGCCTTACCCCCTCCTTCTCGTTCTCCATCAGCACCTTCTTCAGCGCCACCTTCTTGCCCGTCTGTCGGTGCTTGGCTTTGAACACCTCCCTGCAGGGGGAAGGAGGCCGCGCTCAGCCACGCACGAGTGGC